ATATATATATATATATATATATATATATATATATATATATATATTTGTGAACAAAATTTCTGATTAATACACTTCAAATCTCGAGAGACTTTAGATTTAAAATTCAAAAATGCTCAAATTAAAATTTTTTTAAACTTTCGAAATAAAATCGTAAAATTGGAGTTAAAAAAAGATAATTCAGAATTTTTCATTTTCAACTTCCACAATTCGCACAGCCGTCGAATCTACGCATATCAAATACTATGCAGTAGAATACGCATTTAGTTGCATTCGATTATTTCCTGTTCGGTGATTTGCACCGGAATTGGTCGGCCTCTTCTTGGTAAGCGCTCGCTGTTGCGTTACGAAATAGCATGCCGCATACAATACAAAGGAAACCGATTATCGGCCGGCGTCGATCCTATTGGCAGCTCTCAGAACAAAGTGAAACCGAGAGATATTTGATGATAAATAGTTAATTAAACCAAAACTTTTTATGTACAATGAGTAGATTCACATTTCCCGACATATCAGCATTAAACCGAAGCGCTAAATCATCAATAAATATTATAAAATGTATTAGAGTACATAATATATATAGATATATATATATATACTATAAAATATAAAAATATATATAGTATTGATATATATTTATCTAATTATATATTTTTTAAAATTAATATTACACATATACTATAATATATATACAACTACCCTGTATACTATATTTTAAACTGCATCACGTACATATATTATACCATAAATTAAACTATTATTATTATTATGCTATAGCTACACGATACTAACCACGTGTCATATCGTCTGGGTTACAGAGCCTGGAGGACCGCGAGCGTAAGCACAACATACACAAGGAACAGCTGTCGCGCGAGCACAGGTTCCTGAGACGGCGACTCGAGCAGCTGACGAACCAGACCGGCCTCCATGGCCTTCATGCGCTTCACGGCCTCCACGGGCTCAGCACGAGCGCGCCGACCGGCTCCGTCGCCGCTGCCGCCTCCGCGGCGATGCTGTCCAAGCGGCGCAGCATCTCCGAGTGCTCCCTGGGCACGGCGTCCACCAGCTCGACTGGAAGCTCCAGTAACTCGGATAGGTCTGCAGGTAGCCCATCCATCTCGGAGTCCGGTAAGTACCACAACGAGATCGTTATTAGATGTTAAGTTGAGGGTGCATTTCTTCCAATAGTCTCCTCGCAATTTTTCTCTCTGTCTTCATGCTCTCCCAACAGTTTTAAGCGTCTCTTTCTCTCTGTCTTTCATAGTGCGCGGATGCAGAAATGTATTGATTCCATGTTTTACCAACGAATTCCAGCAAAGAACTTTTATACTCTACCGATTGAACTAGTTCCGAACAATGAATTACATAGAAACGTCATAATAAAGTCATGGAATGACCGTACTAATAAATATATTTATAATAAAATTATTTACGGTTTCTATATATTACGTTTGATTATCAGAAGGCGTTCTTTTTTTCCAAAAGCATTTTGTAAAAATAAATTTTTCATGATTTTTAACATCAACTGCGATCGAGCATAGCGATTAACAATAATAATTTATGGCATAAAATTTCAATATTTCCTCGTAAAAGTCTTCGTATAATTCATTGCGATTTTTGACACAAAAATCTTTAAAGTACAAAGAGGATTTTCGCCAGCAACGCTTATCTTCCTAACTAGCTTGATTCCGTCGATTAAATCTTAATCGTCACGAGTCGGAATTAAAATGGAAAGCAGCACGATAGAACCTACTTTATCTATGTCGTAAAGTCGAACGGATAAATCTATTTAATTTCCCGAAGCGTCATTGTTTAAGTACGGTGTACAAACACAAACACACACACACACACACACACACAACAAATAAGTATACGCAAGATATGTACGATAGTCGTTTATCGTGGCATATAATAGTGTTTATACTGATTTTTCGAAATCCTGAAATTTTTTTATTTGTTTCCGAAAATCGATCGAACATGTACCGACAAAAAAATTGTTTTACAGAACATCTGTACATCTTTCTATTTCCGAGCCTTTTTTGGGGATCATATCGTATTTCTAGATAAAGTTTTCAAAATTTCAACTTTGTCTGTATTGAGGCACCAACGATGGCGACGTGCATCGCAAAAATGCATTCGCCACCGCGTGAAATATTGCAGCTTGCGGTGGATGAGTTTTCCAAAGGAGTTCCTGGAGTAAAAAAAGAAGTCATACTAGAGGAAGGCGAAGGAAATCGGAAAACGTCGGGGGTGCAGTGCGCGCGCGGGGGTTGGGCGTTGAAATTGATGATCCCGCGGGAATATCTCCGGCGAAGCACTTATCATAAGTCACGTGTGCCACGCCGGCGATTTTTCGAAAGCCACCCCGAATTTGCCGCGCTTTCTGCCTCGGAACAGCGAAATTTATTATTGTAATTTTTTTATTTCCACTGTTAATTATCTTAAATACATATTAGATACATGCGAAACTGTTCCAAACATACATTCTATTAATTTTTAAAATAATTAATTATTTTTCTGTGTGTGTGTGTGTGTGCTTCTTATATCAATATAATTTTCTCGATATGGTATCGTGCATTTAGATATACCACTATGTATACCACTATGATTGCGGAGTAATCATGTCTCCATTACGAGATATGTTCACTCCGGTGAGTCCGGCTTTACATTTATGGACTCAAATAGAATGTATGTTTTGCGTTGCGGCAATCTGGATAAGGCACTCTCTTCCACATAAACACACACATAAATACACGTATATACATATACTCGCGGAATTATTTCAGGACGATTTCCTCGGGCACCTTAATGTCGTGAGATTGTTGCGCTTAGCTAAATTGCCAAACGTGATAAGATCCCTCTTTAAGATTTGCTATTTCCAGCCATTAGTAACGGATCCTTGTGGTATGCGCGATGTGCTACGGCTAAATGCTGTAGTTGCACATTAGTCATACAAAACGTATTGAAAACTCAATATTTGTTCTCCGAAATTTCGGTTTATGATGATGGATTATTTATTAATTTTTCGTAACGTGGACTAGGAACGCTAATAATATACAAAGAATGATTGGTTAACGCAAAGTCGAAAGAACTGATTAAAGATACGGAATCGAGAGAAAAGAAATGAGAGAGAAAGAGAGATAGATATGATCCGTGGAAGTGGAATTTAACGTGAAACAGAAACGAGAAGTGTTTCTAAACAAAGAGCAAGAAGTGGGAAAGGAGAGAAAGACTCTTTGACAAGTCAAACATGCTCGACGTTCCCGTAAGATAATCATTTCTAACATAGACGATGTACAGACTCTCTTCAATCCGAAGTGATCCTTCAGACAAACCCTTTCATGCTTTGTCCCATAATTTCTCTCGAACAAATGAAGGTAAATATAAAATACAGTATGACGTGACTGCAGATTTAAGTGGACTGTATATTTAACAAACATGCATGTTGCTAATCAACCGAACTTTTTTTAACAATTAAAAGTAGTTTAATAATACCTTTTAATGACAGTTTAAGTTAACCATTGATAATATATTACATCGTCGTGTCCCAATATGATGCATTTGATTCGAAAATACCTAATAAATGTAAATCTAGTGTAACCATATATTATCTAAATAATATATAGTAAGATATATAATTCTTGTGAGTTTTCTAGTATATTCAAACTTAATCTTCGCGATTTATTTTTCACGGATTAACGGTTCTTAATTTTATTGAAGTAATAACGAACTAACAATGAGTATTTTATTTGAGTAACGTTTATGCAACTAAAATCTCTTTTTTTTTTCGCCCTTTGAAATAGACGGTTACATCAAGTGAGAAACCAGTAGACAGTTGGATGTGTAAATCCTAAAATGTAAATTTTTATCAAACTCGTGCAGCTTTTGATTGTCTACATTTGTTCGTAAATAATTGCGTTTTGTTCACTCTGCAAAAACATTATGAACAAAAAATTGAGTAATTTTGGTTATAATTAAGTACGTTTTTTTAACGGCACAATTGAAATTCCATGAAATTTTTTTGCAGAATGGACAAAAACAATTACTTTTAGTATAGAAAAATTGCGCGATCAAATGCCGCGTGAATTTTATAAGGTTTTATAAAAATATTACGATACCAATTTCACAGATCTCAGGAAGTTTGTTAATTAAGATAGTTCCTAGCAGATTTTGCGAGATTAATTTTTTTTTCTTCCAATCGTGTTACCTTCAGACTTTGTTATCGAGCACGGTATATTTGTGAGAAATTTTATCCGATAATTTGAAAAACTGCTAGAAAAGTGACATAGTGTCTATACTCCGTCCAACGAGAGATCATGGTTGATCAAACGAAATGATAGGGCACAGAGCCGCAATAGTGTTGGAAAATATCTATTAAAAATAAAAATAATTTAACGCGAACACTTTGTTACGGCTCTGTGCCCTATCGTTATTTATGTTTGATCAACCATGATCTCTCGTTGGACGGAGTATAGAAAAATTTATTTATCTAATTTTTTTGCAAAAAGAATTGTCAGAAGTGGGATTCGAACCCACGCCCACAGAAGTGGACTGCGACCTGAACGCAGCGCCTTAGACCGCTCGGCCATCCTGACGATGATACGTAGTAGGGCTGACTGAGACTGATGTGACATATAGTTGAATCATCATCAGCTTGAAATAAAAGCTTTTAGTATCCAACAAACATAATAATAAATAGAAAGTTTTATTCAAGATTTTAAACGAGAGACACAATGTTTGAAAATCGTGCGAGAGAAAAATTCGAAAAAATTTCAGTCAGTTTTATATAAATATATTAAGAAAACAACGAAAAAAGATAATCCATTCAACGAATCATTTATTTATTTTTTGAATAATTCTTGCATCCGCTCGAGCTTTCAACATGCTGAAACTCATAATAGCGGAGAGGGAAGGAGGGACGGGAGTGATAAAATTACAAAACTATTTCAGCCACTTCGCGCAAGTATATTCACGGGCGGTCATCGATAGATCCTTGGTAAATCGCAAGCGTGGAAATATTGACCGCGAAAGTTTCTTCGAAATCCCTACGGAAAGCTTTCCGTATATAGCACGGCGATTGTATATCTTCCACGCACATCACGTGACCGAAGTAATACTGACCGGTGACTATATGCCATGCGCGCGGCCGTTACGAACTTATCGCAACTGGGTTGGGACGCGCGCGATCGAGACTTAATCGGGACGTCGACGACACGTATAAATAGACTCAGATAATCCGTCCGCCGAGCGAAGCCGGAAGTTGGCGATTTAGGACTGAGAGAGATATTGCTCGCGGCGGTTTACCTGTCCCGCTCCATCTTCTACCGCGAGACGTCATCTCGATATGCCGTGCAAATGCGACTCGAAAATTGCTCGAGACGCAAATTCGAATCCACTTGATTTGAAATTGATATCCGCGACGGTCTAATATTGGATTTCAAACGCGAAATGCCCGCATCTTCGAGCGAAACTTTGTTCGAACGAACTATAAGAGTTAATTATCGCACTCGTGACGCGGATATTATTGTTATCTACCGTCAACTGCCACTTTCGCCTCACCCCGCCCCCCTCTTCTTTTCCATTTGTTCCTGATAAACGCGCGGACACGCAACGGGGCTGCACCGGTGCCCGGTTCGTTGTTACCGCGCGATAACGAGAAATGATTAACTAGGAGGATAACGTGACGCGCGACTTATTTTTACTCGCTTCACTGTACGGAATATTGATATTCATCCCCGGGCGGCACGAGTTCTAAACGCATTGGTCGCGCGCGTGTTTTTTAACGTCCCCGCACATCGCGGTGGGACGAGTGACGAATTTGGCGATGCCAGGGGTGCGCACGACGCTGGGTTTTAATGAACTCTTTCGCTCGCCACTCGTGCCACCCTTAAAACCGCCGTTTTTAATCAGTGCCTCTCAAATCGCGCCGCTCCACGTTGACCGCCCGTTTCCAACCAATCACGACCGATCAAAGGAACAATTTGTTCTAATTTTTATATTTCACACTTTATCTCATTCCACGTTCAAATCCTAAATTTCAAACTTGAAATTTTGACGCGGCGAAATTCTGCGTCGCGTGTTAAAAAAAATTTATTCGATATTTCATACCTTAATCCGACGTGGTCTCGCTCGTTTGTTACCCCGATCGCGAACCGTAATACCTCCCACGTCTGTGTTTTGAGCGCCACTGTCACCTGGACAGGTTAGCGATGTCGAGGACGCAAAGGTAGAGGGGTGAGAAAGGGAGAGGCGGGTGGTGACGAGGGCAGATCTGGTTCGCTTAGTGTGACGAGAATAGAGGCATGTTATTGATTATGGAAAAATACCCCCGGCTCAGAGCGCCGCGGGTGGCGAGGGCGGGGAGGAGGGGCGGGGGAGAGGGTAAAGCTAGCAAGTGTGGTCGACACCCCCTCGTCTTCTTCGAGCCGTGCCTTCCAGCGGGTGTCATGGCTACTCTACACCTCCTACAGTCTCTCTATCGCGTTTTCCGTTTGCCCTCCCTCCCCCTCCCACGCTCTTCTTCACCCGTTGTTGCCCTATCATCCCTCCGTCTGACGGTATGACATCATAATAACGGCGTGTCCTTGCCGGCTTGTGCTCATCTCTCTCGCGAGTATTGGCCAGACGGTGCGTGCGATTGATGCGTCGGTGCGCCTTCTTACGTCATGAGAGCTAGGGGATGCTTTCGACATGGGGAAAGCGATACTATTCAAAATACTTTGTATGATGACTTTGTACGAGCTGTTATTGTACCACTGAAGATTATATTATGTCTACAACCAACAGATCAATAAGTTTAGCTTAGAATTGCCGGCAACTTATGCAGGCTTTATCAGATCAATCGTATTTTCTTTGACCCTCAGATTCTTTGGCGTCAAATTCGTAGGGAATTACTCCGAAAGTCATGGCGAGTCGCTCGAAGGCGAAGCGACTTTGGCAGACTTATGAAGAGACACCAAATACGGTGGAAACGCTCAGAATTTAACCGGAAAGGCGGGGAGAGGGTGGGATCGCTCCCGCGGAAGACGATCTTCTCGCTGCCATTAATTAATCTCGCGTGATAAATGTTAAGCTGGCTGCCATCTTGGAGGATGCTAGACGCGAAACCAGCTGCGCGTCTTAATAGCGGCGGATGCCGATGCATAAATTTCCACTAATTTTTCACAACAGCCTCGTTTATCGCGTATTAATCAATACGAACAAAAAATAAAATAAAATAAAATAAGTCTCCTCTGAAGCTAAAATCGATGTTCAATTTTAGTAGTACGGATGACTTACTCGTTTTTGCTCGATGCGTAAACGAAAGGATTACTTTGTCATCGATCTCTCCTTTCCAGATTAAAACAATGCGAAATCCGCGCTTTCTGTTGCAGATGAAGTGGATGTGATTGGTTACACGAGCAATCAATCGGACACCGATGATCATAGTAGCGTACAGAGTAGTAGCGACAGCGGTGTCGCGATGTCCACCTCCAGACTGACTCTCTCCGAGATGATGGACAATCTTTAGGTGCGTATAACGAGATTGATTAAGTTCCGAAGGCGATCTCGGAGTCACTTGCACCATCCTGCGTTGGCGCACGCTCCTAGAGCGCGCCAATGTGGAATAGTGCTAACAACCGAATTCGCTGAAACAAGAGCGCAGAGAAATTCTATTTTAAGGGAGATAACATTAATTTAGCCGGACGAGACGAGTATTTGAATTAGAACAAATTTCGCTTGCAAAAGCTTAATTGCCGGATTACATCAAAGTAGAGAGTTAGCTATAGTTGATCACGTTCTATGATGAATGAAATACCGTATGCTAGGTACGGGGAAATCCGTTACGAGTGTAGGGACGTAAATCACCAAAGGGATAAAAAGCGGAAGATAGGAGTGTATAACGAGAGCGGAGGGGGGGGAGGGACAAGGGTGGTGGATGTTGGGCAAATAAATTCTCACATTGCTTCCTCTGCGCTATTTGCAGACAAAGAGGCGGTGCGATGGCGGCGAAAGAAGAAGCGGTTGAAGAAGGAAAAGAGAGGGAAGGATAGGGGAGGGGAGATAGAGCGAGCGGAAGAAGATCCATCGGGGCGTACGAAAATTGACGGCGCGCGAGATATCGACTCATACACACATTACATATATACACATGAAATGCACATTTAAATTCGTACTCAATGCAACTTTGTCCTTCCAAAATGGCCTGACTGGCAAAGCAACGTTATAGAGAAGAAGCAGTCCTTTAGATGTCACTCGACTTTGCGAAGATCTTCGACGAACGGAATAGATTTCAAAAAAAAAAATCAGAAATGATGGAACTTGGACAGGATTGCCATGGCTCGAAGAACATCAATCGACGCACACGTCAAATGATGCAAAGGGAAAGGAAATAGGGGAAACGACGTTATCTTTGATACCATCTCGGTTCTAGCCTACAGTATAAAAAAAAAGAAGTCTTCAATACTTTCATAAGTATTTCTACATGAATGTTACGAAGAAGAGACAATTGACCCGAAGAAAAGAATCCGTTAAAGAATCCGAGAGCAAGAAAGAAAACAGATGAAAATAAGGAATATAAAGATGGAAGATCCACTTAAAGTTCATCATATAGAAATCATATGGAAGCGGAGAACAACTTGGGAACGATTGAAAAGAAAGAATATATAAAATATACATAGACTTCATCATTAATATTTTACTAAAAAGAACAACATTTGAAAGTGTTGATCGTTGGAGAAACCAATAAGAAAAAAAGCTGGCAACTTCCAAAAGTTGCAAATACAAATAGAAAGATTGACATATTTCAAAATGAAGTCTGGCGTATATTATGCATTCAAAGGAAAAAATCCAGCCACCTTTCAGAAGTTGATCTCGATGAAAAAGGAGTAGCAGCATGGAAGATAAGGAAAACGTGAGCAAAATGAAAGTGAAGAGAAAAAAGAAGGTAACAAGAACATCTGGAAGAATGTGAAAAATAAAGAAGATTATTGTAAATTATCGAGCATTGACGAAATCATAGCGCAGCATTGTATATATTTTTAAGAACGAACAGATTTATTAAAACAGCGTAGATATGAAGGGGGAAGAGAGAGCGAGAGAGAGAGAGAGAGAGAGAGAGAGAGAGAGAGTGTGTGTGTGTGTGTGTGTGTGTGTGTGTGCGTGTATGCACGTGTGCGTGAGAGAGAGAGAGAGAGAGAGGCAAAAAAGCTAAATGAAAAATGGAAGTTATGGTAATGTTAAGCAGAAGCTGATTAATTTTTCGTTTTATTGCAAGCTTAATCCTAAAAATCTTGAAACGAATGAAATAAAGCATCGATTGACCATTTTGAGATTCGATTATTGAAATGCGCGCCTTTTGGGTTCACAGCTTTGCATTAATTGATAAAACTAAAAATTTATTCTTAGAAATTGATTTTGAAAAATTCGATTAATTCGGTTTTATCATTTTAATATGCAAAATGATTTTCAATTAATTTCCAAAGTAAAATTCTATTAATTTTTTGCACGGAAAATTGAATAGAGGAATAGGATAGAGAACACAATTTAAAAATAAAGATTTAGTTCTAGAAATTTATAATACTTTTTAAAATTTATTTAGGTTAAAAGAATATTTTATATGAAGTAAATTTCCAAGATAAATTTATAGTTTTATCAAAATCTAACCAAGAAAAATTTATTTTATAAAAAGTTATAAAATTAGTCAACAAATCGGAAGTATTTATCCGAAGCAATCCGCCTAGTTTAAAATGACGAAATTATTAAAGTAATTTGTAATATATCAAATAAATTATAATAAAAGTATTTTACAAATTTATTCATAAAATTTATTTAATTTGAAACTTAAAGATTATATGCAATATTCGGAATTAACTGTAATACGTTAAGATTATAAAATATGAAATTATTTTTGTAGTATAAAATTATGTATAAAAATTAGAATTACTTAAAAAGAGAGATTATATACAAATTATTTCGATAACACAAAATTATTTCCAATACTAAATCGCGGATTACTTCCATCGAATGTTATTTAAATAATCATACAAACAGTAAACAAACAAATAAGCTTATTAAATAAATTTACCAAATAAACCCCGCGCCGTCGTCATATTTGCAAAAGGGAATAAATCTTCATAAAACTCGACACCGCGTAAAGTGGAGGAATATGAGAAGGGAGAGTGTTTAGAGAATGAAGAAGACGGACAAAGATAGACAAACGGCTAATTTCTCGATGAATAATGAAATGCGATTAATTAATAGATAACAACGCAAACTCACACAGACACAAAAGAACAGATATACACACGTATATGTACACATATATAGTTAAGTAATTATTATTCTGTAATTAAGCGAGCAAGCAAAGTATAAAAAACAAAGTATAAAAAGCAAAAAAAGTAAACTGATAATTATAATACGGCGTAAGTGAAGTTTCATTATATATATTATATATATATATACACACATAAATATAGAGTGTCCCTTATTTATAGATTTAGAAATAGACAAAAAGTCTTGAGTGACTTTTGCTCTTCAGAAAATTTGTTTATAACGAAATTTTCTTCATCTACTTATTATGAAGAGAAAAACAAAGAAGAATGCAAAAAGAGAAATAAAAGAGTTATAAGTAAAAAGAAGAATTTAAGAAAAAAATTACAAAACAAACTAAAAGATAAAAATTGAAGAAATGCAAATTATATGAATAGGCAATAAAAGGAGAAATTTCAAAATCTAAAAGACTTGTAAAAAATTTATTTGTTGTTATAAACGAAATAATAGACTGCCGAATGTGCAATAGAATAATTGAAGAAGTAATTGTGGAAATAGGGGGCACTCTAATACATACACACATGTTCGAAGAGTACAAATTCCACAAATCCCTCATTGGGTATTCTCGGGGCTGTTATCATCTTTTTATGTGACGCGTTTTTTTTTCACGATCTTGGACTATTCCCAGATCATTCGCGAATGATCTACAAAGCGAACAATCTAGGTTATGGATTTGAAACCGATACAATTTCGCATTTTGACGCTAAAATGATTTTATTTCGATGTGAAATAATGTCATGACATTTTTCTCAATTTTGGCAAGTTAATATCTTTGAAAACAATTATCTTATTTTGTATATGTTAGAAAATAGTGTTGGTTAAGACATAAGGAAATTGTAATTGTAAGTATATTATTATAGAGAATGTTATACTATTTCAATCTAAATATGAAATATATAGGTATGAAATATTATGAGAGATTCAGCTTAACGAAATTGTAGAGGTTTCAATTTCTAATCTAATATCGAAAATCGGAGACGTTTTCGACTTAAAGGACAAAAAACGAAAAGGTCCTTTTGTAAAATTGGCATTGAACGATAGTTTAATGAATAGACTGATTACCAAATATAATGGATGATCTCTGAAGACCGTTAATTTGTAAGTTGGAGATAAATGTTTTTGGTGAGCATATTGTGGAAAATAATCCGTTGCAGGAATATGTGTCGTCGGTTAACCCTTTAACTTTTTCTCGTACATGAGGTACGCAAAATAGTCGGAAAGTCTGTCGTTGAAATGCAGAGGCGGTTTGTAGAACAGCCTAAATGAAAAGTGTTTCTCTTTTTTTTCTCACAGTACTTGTTAATAGAAGATTTCTTTATAAAATTAAAAACGGGAAATTTAATTGTTTCAACTTTTAAAAACTGTTTTTAGACTGGATGATGATCGATAGTGACAAAATGCACCAGAATTTCTGCAATTAGCGGAAAAAAAAACGAAATTTGTAAATGATAGACATTTAGATTTATCAAATATGACATAATCGCGATCTGTTTGAGATACATGCTTTGCGATTTCGTAAAAGAATCTATAATACAAAAATCGGTATTAGATTCTTTATATATACACACAGAAAGCGCATAAGTATATTCTTTATATTTTGATTTTATTTGTATTATTTCCTTCTTTAGTTCATTTTTTGATTCATTATTTTTTATACGTTTCTATACGTTTCATTTTCGTTTTATTTAGTTTACTATAAACATTTATTGCCTTCATATTATTGATGCAGTATTATACTATTAATGTAACATAGCAAAATTGATCAATGAGACGAAAATTCTAGTGATATTTAGTATTAAACATTGAAGTCTTCAACGAGACAGTTGAAATCTTGAAACTTTATTAGCATAGAATTAAAGAAAAATATAAATTACCTGGAAAATTAAAAGATTTTTTTATTACACTTAAATTTAAAGAAATTATTATTTATACAATATTATTTAAATATTGTCAAAATGTTTAACTTTTCCACTCTTATTATCTTTCTTTATTCTACACAGTATTATATATAATAAATAAATATTTTAAAATGTAACAAAATATGTTAATTAAGGAGAATTGAATAAACATTCTAAAGTTATATAGATTCCAATATTTTATAATCGAATATTTAATCGAAAATCGATTTAATTAGATATTATGGAATCTAGTGATCTAAAAGAGGGATCGGAAATCTCAAATATAATAAAAATATAAGTTACAAAAGTTTTTTATCATTTAATGTTAGATACTTCTTGATATCTTAAATTCATTTAAATGTAATTTTAATTATAACCTTCAATTTAGAGATTTTGGGAAAAATTTTGAGGAAAGTAAGCATAAATATTAAGCATTAAATTGAACATTAAAACTTTACGAAGTATTAAAAACTGAAATCGATTCAATCGAATATTATGGAAATATCTCCAAAGCACTAAAAACAGATTTAATTAATTGGTGGATGCTTGACTTTTTTAAGCTAAATGTAAGTTAAAGGGTTAACTGTTGGGGATAGTTGTTGGATTAATAGACGAAGGACGTAAGAGAAGTACACAAATACATCTTGACAAGAGAAAGGAAAACGAAACAGCAGCCAACGAAAGAAAGACAGATGTCAGGAAGTGAAATTGTGAAGATGATGAAGATTTACCAGGTCAAATCCCGCCGAGAAAAAGCGACCAAGCCGAGTGAAATATTTTCAGCGAGGCACACCGCGATTTTTAATATTGAATCGAATATTGATTGTTGTATCAACAATCGTCTATAGCTATATTGCAATCATATTGGTTGTTGCGAATCTATACTCGCGGTGAATACACCACAATTATAAATAGGCGGGCTTTGACCGCGGTAATGTGCATGATCCTGCGCCTATCTTTCGGCAAATTTTGCAATTTTAATTTCTATTTCTTTTAAATTGTAAATTACACGTAGCTTTATATCGAGACTCTTATATACAGTATTTACTTTAACAAAAAATTTGAGAACTTTTTTTAAAAATTCAATTTTACATTATTAGATTTAACTCCTGAATAA